GGAGCCTGGCCCTGAGTCCACACTTGGCCCTTCAAGTCTTGAACCTTTGTTGGGGTGTCCACCTTCTTGTCTTCAATCCCTTTCCTCTAGCTGGGGTCTCCAACCCAGGTCTATTTATCCTGGACCTCAGCTTCTGGGCTCCAGCCCTGTCTTGTGCTCTTGCGCTCTGGGCCCCTGGCCTGGTATCTTGCAGCAGCACCTGAGGTTCCTGACCCCCTCTAGGCAGCTTGTGCACTGCTCTACCCCTGGGGTCCCTGACTCTCACTAGGCAGCTTTCACTGTGAGGGTTTAGCCTAGACTTGCAGATAGGCTCCTGAAGTACAACCAAGAGGTCAGCTGGATGGGGGTGCAGGTTACCAAGGCATCAGGGCAGGGTTGGGGTCAGTGAAGTGGAGATCCAAGAGACATAGTCAGGGGTGCAAGCTAAGGTCAAAAGCCAGGAGAATCAGAGAGCTGGGTGCCACGTGCCAGGGAGGATCCAAGAGCTGGGTCAGGAAAGCTGAAGCCAAATCAGGAGCCAGAGTAATCAGAGAGCCAGTACAGAGTTCCAGGGACGATCCAGTAACAGGGCCAGGGACAGCCAAAGCTGAGTCAAGAGCCAAGAGAACCAGAGAAAGCAGTGAATACCAGGCTTGCCAGAGCAGACTGAGTCTGCTGTCAAGGCATGCCTACAGCCTGAGGCTGCAGGTGTACTTAGAAAGGCCGAATGGTGTTCTGAACAATCAATCTAGTTACAGAGAACTGGGGCAGCTACATTGGAAGGGATCAACTCAGGTGTGCGAGCTCAAGAGCTCAGCCTAGCCATGCCTGACTGGCCAGAGGCCCTGACAATACCACCCCCCTCTCCACAACCCCATGGGGCTGTCTTACAGATGGCCTGGGACTGGGCTTTTCTGGATACCTCTGGTAGAAGTCTTGCACTAATTTTGGGATATGAACATAGTCAGCCAGATTTCAGGATCATTCTTTGGGACCATAGCCCGCTCAATTGATCAAATAGTGAAGCTTGCCTCAGACACGTTTGACATCTAAGACCTGCTTAACAATATACTCTTCATGATATTCCACTATCGTAGGTTGGGGGGAAAGGGAGTGGGAGGGGGGTTCATTCAGTCAGGAAAAGGGTTTTCAATTAAAGGTTTGAGTAAGGATACATGAAAAATGGAATATATCTTCAATGTCTTTAGTAGCTGAAGCTTGAAAGCCATGGGGTTAATTTGTTTCATTACCTGGGCTAAGGTATTGATGTTCCAGTTTGGCCAATAGTCTTTGGGTCTTAATATTCTATGATGAAAGCCAGACATTGTTGCCAACCAAAGTAGTGGGGCCGGGCTGTAGTGTTGGTCTGCCTGGTCTTTATATGCATTCTTGATAGTGTCTAGACTAGCTTTTAGTTCCTGCTGGACTTGTTGGAGGTACAATATAAGGTCATTCACTGCAGGAACCAGTGGGAAGGTAAGTGGTGCTGTCTGGAACTAGGGATGGAATCCATAGTTGGAGAAAAAGGAGGTCTGGCCTGTGGATGTATGGATAGCACTGTTATACGTGAACTCTGCTAGTGGAAGCAGGGGCAACCACTTATCCTGGTGGAAGTTTAAAAAAAACACCTGAGGTATTGTTCAAGTGTCTAATTTATATGCTCCAAACTACACTGCTACAATTCACATCCAGATTCCAAAATTCACATCTGGTGTCACAATTATTGCAATATTCTTTTGTCTCACCTACACAAATGCAATCTTGCCAAATGGTTACCCATTCAGAATGCTGCTGCCAAGATTGTTTGCCTTGCCTATCACTTTGATTGCCCCTTCTATTTTCATCATAAGCCTTTTCCTCTCTCACACCAGGAATAATCTATTTATGCTCACATATCCCCTTTTTACATCTCACTTCTCAGTTATTACTGAGATGTCAGCTTATACCGCCTCCAGTCATCCCACAATGCCAGCCTCCATTACCCACCTGTAAAATTTCTAAATGAGCACCTTCTTGCTTTCTCCAATGCTTCCCTCACACCTAAAGAAGCTTCTTTATTGACAAAACAAATGTACTATCACACCTCTGACTCCACCTTAGAACATCCTTTTCCTGACATCTAAAATATTGTCAATGGTTAAGGTGTGGTGGATGTGTTGAATTAACTGCACAGTTCCACTGTTTCCTTCTACTTACTCATCTGGCTGTATCCATGTATTGTCCTTTTTTAAGAATGCAACTCTTAGGGGCAGGGAGTATCTCTTTGTTCTGTGTTTATATAGCACCTAGCACAATGAGGTCCTGTCTCATGCTCTCAGATGCTAACTTAATACAAAGAATAAGTATAAAGCAGGAGAAAGAACATAGCTGCAGTGCTAGGATAACATGAGAACTGGATAATTAAACTTTATGATACTATACAGGAAACCTAGGGTTTAAGGAGACTAAAAGATTTTGCTTTGGGCCAGCTGAGAAGTGTCCTCAGAGGGAACAAAATTCAAGGTAGGGCATATCTATTCTATTCAGATTCCTATTCCAAGTCTTCACCCTAATTTCTTAGCATCTGATAAGCATTTAATAATGCCTTAAAACACTTGACCTCTGTATGAATCTATGGAAAACTCAGAGAGACTATGTCTCTTTTGAGGTTATTGAGAATTTTAGGAAAATCCAGGTCTAAAAAAGAGAGCACCTGTCATGGGGGAAGGAGGTATATGATTGTAGGGGGCAGTGATATGCCAGTGCCCTGCCCCTTCTCATTTTGGTGCCACTTACTCCCAGGCCACAGCCCACCCCAGCCCTGCTGGTGCCCCTCACTCCCCAACCACAGCCCCCTGCCCCCCTCAGCCCTGCAGCAGCTCCTGGCTGCACCGCCCTGGCAAGCAAATGCACCGGACTCAATGCTGCCATCTGGGCCATGCAACTCCCTGCTGCCCCTGCAGGGCCTCCCTGCCCCCTTCTCCCTCTCCCTTCCCCTGCTGGAGGGGCAGGCACATCCCTTCCACCCCCCCTGCCCTGCCACAGCCCTGGTGCCTGGACAGCTTCCCCCAGTGCCAGCAGGCACCTGTACCCCTCACACACCCATCACCTCCACACACCCCTTTCACACATACACACACACATGTGAGCACCCCCACCCCCAGCTCCATGGATAGTCCCAAAGCCCTGGCCCTCCAACCCTCATCCTCCACAGACTTACTTTTATGCAGCTGCTGGAGCTGCTCCCACCCCGCTCCTTGGCTGCATGCCGGCCCTGTGTGTGTGTGCCCTGCCTCCGATCGCCCTCCTCATGCTCCCCGCAGCCCCAAGCTGCTCCTTGCTAGGTCAAGCTGGGAAAAACTTCAAAGCTGACCTGACCAAAATCCTGGACATTTGATCATATTTAAAAAAACCCACCTGGGTAGAGATCCGAGGATCCAAAAAAAGGACATGTCTGGGAAACCTGGATGTATAGTAACCCTAGACAGAATTCCCTAGAGAATGAGATTCTCTGCTATACTCTACCATACAAATTCTAAATCAGTGACGTAATACTCCATTAAATTATCAAAAGTCCTTTAGTAAAATGATCAATGTAGTAAATTCTAGCAGGCTTTGGCTTATAAGGGATGCGATGGAGTCTTAGGATTTCCTCTGCTCAAGGCACCTCTGAGGAAGACGTGGCAGGATCTCCCCCGAGAAAAGGAAACTAACAGAGGTGCGACAGGTTGTTTATGAGAGAGATTCAGATTGAGCAAGCCAATACATGCTCATAAAGAGCTAATCTAGCTCCCCGTGTCTCATCTTGCTGACTGACTTGGATCAGTTCCTAAAGTAAGTTGTGACAAACAGAGTGCTGCTGAGCGTGCAAGTAACTGCTCTGCTTGAGTTCTGACGGCAGCAAGGTAAATGCAGCTGAACAAGCAGCAGCCAGCTGGGAAGGGCAATGGTGGGGCCTGGCACGCAGGGACAGGAACAGGCTTGAGAAACAGCACCAAAGGGCTAGCAAGAGGAAGGATGATAATTTAAAAGAGAAGGTTCACAGAGAGCCTTCTGCTTTAGAGCGGTTCATCCCATCAAGTTGTTGTTAGCAAGACAGTGCAAGAAAGATGTAGGAATAAGTATAGGACTTTATACTTCCAGGGCTGTTCATTTGTCATCTTTCATGACCACTGCATTCACCTGAAGCTCTGCCACCTTATCGTAAGCTGAGTAGGGAGTATTTTGATTGAAGAATAGCTCTCTTGTTATCAACAGAGCCATAAGTACAGTGCTCTTTTACAGGGCCACTGTCAGGATGCTCCAGAAGGCTAGACTTTGCTTTATGAATCTGAATAAGACATGCACATTTAGCTATAATAACTACAGGACTAATGATGCAATATCCTTTGAGTTTTTTACCAGTTTCTTGTGGTTTTTTTAACTTTGTATGTACTCTAGCAAAGTAGCGCACATTTCAATAGCTGTATTTGTTTTTGCTTTGATTTTAAATGGACATATTACTAGAGCTTCTAGTTTCACTTTAGCTGGAGAAAAAATGCGTTGTGCTTTGTGCGATAAAGTGCCACAGCACCTGCACCCCCCTTTTCAAAATCCTAGATCAATGCAAGGGTATGGGATTTCTACCCTGGCACTGCCACATCAATGAACAACTATTATTAGAAAGTCAACAGAGCAGATGATTTATTTCCCCCAGGAAATGTTTACACATCCAAATCCAGATCCCTGTTAGCAAGTGGATGTAGCCAAATCACATGCAGGCATGCACAATGTTGTGCTGCTAAAACCATGTGCACTTCTGCAACTAAATGTGCATACTGATCAAAAGTCACTGATCAGCTGTTTATAGAAGTTTTTAGCCATTATAATTAGCAGTTGCTGTCTTTCCAAATCCTGTAAGAATATCCTTGCTTCCCTAAAAAGTACAAAACATTGACATCTACATAAAATACTATAATTGTGAGAACTCCCAGCATTTATGAATTAAATAAAGCCTTTAACCTTTTAAAAATTTGTTCTAACTACAAATTTTTTATTCACAGGTGCATAGAGCAAGATGCCACACTTTATCAGACGGTTGCTATAAGTTGCTTTGGGGTGATTCAGTGTTCGGCTTTTGTTGAAGTGAGATCAGAACCAAAACCCCAAACTCACCAAAAGTTACTTTCTGACCTGACTAACAATATCAGAGCTAGCAAAAACAACAAAGACACATCATCTCAGTGGGAAAGTTCAAAACCAGCTGGGCAGAATGAGAAATCTTTAGCATAGAACAATTAGTCCTATAAGGACATTTCCACTTTAATTTCAACAGATTCTGCCTCTAAAGAAAGCAGCAGTTTGTCTATTGAGGAACCTGGAAAAGCAGAGGCATCATCCTTATTAGAAGATCATTACAGAAACATAAATAGTCTGCAAGACAATATGGATGTCACAAACACACTTAAATCTCAAGGCAACCACGGCTGCACAAAGTACATGTCAGAAAATACAAGAGACTCAGTTTATGTTAACACTGTAGCTAGTGAGACTGCTGAAAAAGCAGGCAAATGCTACAGCAATGTAAATCCCAAAGCAACCAATCTGATCACTAATCACAACGACAACCATTGTTTTTATTCTGATGTCTTAACTTCTCGTCAGACCCCTGAAGATGCCAAGGCACGTGAACAAAGTATCCTCAATAAGCCCCTTGCCAAGAATACACTGTCTGATGATCAAGCAAATATTCCTATAGGAAAACATAACTACTTTGTAGAAGATGCCTCTAACAACTGTGACACTAAGCTTCATCCATACACAAATCTGATCACAGTTGATGAACTTTCTGACAATAAACTTGAGTACCTGGAATGTTCTGATGTGATGACAGCTCATGAAAATGAAATCTGGGAAAAGAAACTGCAATTTTTATTAGAAAGTGATGATGAAGAAGATATAAAACGGGGTGAGGATTGTTATGGGTGTGATTATTTCCTCAGTGAAATGCCTCATCTGTTTCAAGTGTCAGATAACACTGTGCCTATGGATACCACCATTGGCTTCTGTGGTCATCAGTCAAAATCCAAAGAAGTAGCTGTAAGGAGAGATCTCTCTACATACAGTCAGTCAACTTTGCGAACAGGGATGACCCTTACTGTTGGATACCACCAAGATAAAACTACCACAATGAAAGACAAAATCAAGTATATGCTTCCCATTGCTTCTACAGCAATTGAAAATGATTGCCTTAGAATTGAAGAAGAAAATACCACAGGTAACTATTCAGCTGCAAATTTCCCCACTGACAGATCACAGGACGTGGATCATGTACTTGCAGATATGGAGCCAGCCTCTTCTGGCTTAGGTGGCTCTTTGACAAATCAGGCTTCTAAGACAATGACAGCAAATAGCCTGGATGGAGGCATGCTAAATAAAAGCTCACAGGAGTTAGATGAAGTGAAGAGAAAACGGGCAGAGGAAAAATCTAAGGATGTTGTATTGAATCTGATAGAAAGACTCAGAAGAGACCTTTTGAAGCTGCTAAACCCCAAAGAGCTCTGCAAATATCTAACTGTCACAGGAGAATCTGCTCAAACTGTAATTGGGGGTATGGATTCCAGTGTACTGTTTCCTGGTCAAGAAGGTGTTACTTCAACACAAAGACCTCAAGAGATAGACAGCCTGCAAATCCAGACTGGTTTATGTCCTACAGAGAAGGCAGACAATAACTGCCCTGGGGATGGGGAGTGGAGCAGGACCCTGTCTGAGAAAACTCAGGTGCCAAATGAAAGCACCTCATCCAGTGTAAGTAAAGCATTTTATCATTTAATATAAAGGGTTTTTTCACTGACTTGAATGCTCTCTCTTCTTATTTGTGGCAAAATAATGTAAAATGTAAATTACTTCAAAAGATACTACTCAAGCACTTGTGAATGACAGCTACTGCTGTGAAGGAAATCTGGTTTTAAAAAAAGGCCCAGATAAACCAGAAGCTGTCCTAATTATAGAGGGAGACTGATAATAGTAAGAGGCACTAATGGGACTGTGGACAGCTGGGTAGGGAAATCTGATATTTAAACTACTGCATGTGTCTTATCCAAGCAGTCTTTCCCTCTCTAGCTCTCTCTTTCCCAAGAAAGTTTCTCCAGCCACTGCTGTGAGCAGAGACTATTTTATATTATTTTCTTTTCCAGCTATGATTAAAGTGATCTCAGTTACTTTACTGCAACTTGTGATCTCAGCTGTCTTTCTGCAAATCTGAAATAAATCAACTGAAAGCAGTTGAGACTTACCTGGATTTCCCTCCATGTAACTGAGATGAGAGTTTGAGACACTTTACATTCTTCCTAATAAAAGCATAAAAGATGTAAATGTTCTAGCAAAAAATAGTTTCTTTCCCTTTGTGAAGATAGTGAAACCTGTATTATAGACTCTTAGCTAGATAACCAGCTGATACCTAGATTCATTACAGTCAAATTAAATGGAGTCACATCAGTTTTCATCAGCAGGTGAATGGGGCCATATTTTTTTTTATTTCATGTAGTAAAAAGCAAAGAAAAAACAAAAGCCTAAAAGATCAGGCAGATCCTGTTCCTTTCTCATTCACTTACTAAAGGATTTTAAAGCATGTGACAATGAACTAGAAAATCTATCTGAGAAAACTAGTAAGGGTGTATCCTGAATAAGGATGTACAAATGTGCCTATTGACCTGGAAGGGATCTGAATAACTTTACCCCAGAGCATGACTGCCTGATAATAGGCTTTTGAAATATAAACATCATGCAAGGAGTAATTTATCAATTCAATACATTTTGTGTGGTCAATGCAGAAACACTGGAAAACTCTCTGCCCAATTCACCTTAATCTTTAGGGTTACAGTGGGGCATGACAGCAAGCCATTACATGGGCAGTAACCAAACAGCCCATCATTTGAATGCAGATGGCATTCAAGAATCATGGCATTAATACAATATTTTGACCCAGAATACAGGTTTTGACTAACTATGCTTCCCCTCTCCCTCTTTTTCTCTGTCCCTATGACAACTCTGCTGTTGCTCTGAGAGTTCCTTTGCGTTCACCAGGAGAGCCCTGATATCTCATTCTGATATCCCCCAACTGCTGGAATTAACTGCTTCCATTTATCTATGTTAGCTGCATTTGGGCATGTGTGGGCTCACACTAAGTGGGCGCACACACACACATACACATACCCATCTTATACTTTCAGGTCCACATGCTTTCTTCTGTTATGTCTTTCCAGCTTAAAAAAGCTCCCATTTCAAACTGATCCTTTAACTTTGAATTAAGTCACTGGAATTTTTTAAACAATCAAAACCAACCAAAGTATCTCATATGGAAAGGTGCCCATAGCACCTGCATTCCAGTTTTCTTTCCTTACATATCCATTAAAAGGGCCGCAGTATTTTAAGTGTGCCTCCCACCCTTACGTTGTAAAATATCCCTTGGCCAGGTTAATCTACTAAGAATATCATGATATTATGCATTGTCATGATTTGGATCAGACATTAAACCCCAGTCCATTCAGAGTGAAGCCATTAAAATTTCATGGATGTTTTTCCAAGAACAGGTATGGTGGGTTAATCAGATTAGCTAGATATATTCTAACTACACTGATCCCATGCTTCTCTTGCATGTATATACAAGTATATGTGCACATATGTGTATACTGTAGGTGTGTTTCAAAGCTTCATTGCAGATATATCTGAAACAAACACGTTTAGAAAGAGAGTAGGGATAAGAATCAACCAAATCCTTGATTTAAATGCTCTTGTATGAATTACTTGGATCTGGGTTGTACCTAAATTCATAATTTCAGCTCATTGCTGTCTTAATACTGAGTCAAATTCAAGCCTCAGCCCCAAAGACTGCAACCTGGGGAAATTTAGGCTGGAATACATTCTCCCTTGGATTGTCCTTCATGAGATCTCTAATGATACCATGGTATCTTCCGTATTTTTCCAGTGCAAAGTCAGGATGGAGATCAAGAACCAGCCTGATGCACTATGAACAACCTGATCTGCTTAGGGCTAACTTTGGCATAGCCTTGCATTTGGGCCACTGCAAAGTTTCTGAGCCCCAGCAGGAGCATCATAAGGCACTTCCCCCTTTCACATAGCTCTTCTTAATCTCCGTGGGTAGGGACAGACATTCAAAAAGCTGGAGCCTGGCTTGATTCAATCTTTGCAGGTTAGTCTACCCTGCCTAGGCTGAACTGGTTTGTAACAGGACAAAACATTTGCTCTGGACTGAGGCAATGCAGGCACATGCCCGCAGTTGCTCAGGGCTGGTGCTGGGGGGTGCTAGAGCAGGTCCTCAGCTGCAGGGAAGCTGTGTGGGGAGGCATGGGCAGTCTGGGCTGAACTGGCCAGGGAGGGGTTTAATTCCCTGTCTCTAGCTACTGGCGGGGACCCAAGCCAGATCTGTCCATCCTCACTGCAGCTCTCCCTTCCCCCTTGCAGGGGCCCTGCCTGGCTGTGCCCCCACCCTGTCACTGCAGGGGAGGGGGCAGGGCCCTTGTTGGGGGCAGCAGCCCCTGTCATAATGTGAGGGAGTGAGCCCCTTCCTGGTGGGGGTGCTGTGCTGCGCGGCTGGCAGCGCTGCAGCAGCACTGGGGTCCAGAGTGGGCCTCTCTGTGCTTGAGGCAAGCCCGCTCTGGGCAGGAGGAGGCTTATTCGGATGCTAGCCCCTGGCATCGCATTGGGGTCTTCCCGGCACAGCTGCAGCTGCCGCTTGGCATGTGCTTGGGGTCAGTGGCTGAATAAGTGTCCTGCCAGGAGGAGGCTGACCCAGAGCACGGAGCAGTGGCTGCGGCCATATCAGGAAGACCCCAATGCGATGCCAGTGGCCAGCAGTCACTGTCCAAATAAGCCTCCTCCTTCCCAGATGGGGCTTGCCTCAAGCACAGAGCAGCCACCAGCATTGCAGCGGGGTCTGCCCAGCATGGCTGCAGCCACCGCTCTGTGCTCCAGGCCAGCGTCTGAATAAGCGTCCTCCTGCTGGGAGGGGGCTGGCCCGAGCACAGAGCGGCAGCGGCAGCTCGGCCA